TGAATTGGCTTCCAGTGTTGGGGGAACGGCTCGACTGCTGCTGTCGCGTGGAGCGCTGCAGGTACAGGTGCTGCAGCTTGGTTCTAACTGCGACGCTTTCAGAGTGACTTGTTGGTGAAGGCTGCCTTCGCCGATTGTAGTAAAAGGAACCTCTGGGTCCAGTCATGCGTGTTTATGTTTTCCTTTATGCAAGCTACGCAAGAGAAATCCATGACTCGGAGAAAATTATTGATGATATATGATGCTTGAGTGTCTTGACAAAAGTTTATAGGTCTGCAATCACTGATTTCTGACTAATTAAGATTAAAAAGAAGTGCGAATGTTTGTTTTCGATTTAACGATTACCCGTGATGAGACCCTTGCGCCTCATGGGATCTTTGAGAGTTTGTCCTACACAAAAATGGATTTTTAGCGATTGTAGTCTGTCGTACCAATCGGAAAACAGTCCTGAGCCCCACTTTCTGTGGGAGCCTTGCCGTCCGGTTCTTTGATTTTCCCTTGGCTTTCTATCGGTCAGAGCGGAGTGAATTGTCTCGTGCTACTAACGAAGTGTTGTTGCACCTCTCGGTTCAATTGAATGACATGGTTGTTTTACGAAATATAGAACGCAGCTTGTTTGATCTGGGACGCCGGTTATTTCGAACCAAGAAAGGAATAGGTTTGTGTGCTATCGAGTCCACAATTAGCCGTGATGCACTGATGCACCAGTGCTTGAGAATCACATGTGTTTACACAATGGTGAATGAAATTAAATCGTAAACTCAAGAATGAAGAAAGATATTAATAAAAAACGCAGCAATATAAGAATAAATTCAACAGTTATTCTTAACCCCCAATAGGAGTTTTAATATATGAGTACTCCCTGGGTCATTTCAAAAATTGACATCATTCACGACTTACAAAAACCGCTTTGTAAGTTGTTTCAAGGGCCTGAAAGCTGGGTCAGGGAAAGCGGTCCTAGTGCGTCTATAGTCGGCGGCAGGTCAAGAGTAAAGAGGAAGCTCGTCCCACCTCTTTCCCTTTTGGGAATGCGAATGAGGGAGCGGCGGTCGCATCCTCTCTAGCGTTCGCTCTGCGGAAGTGGGAAGGGGTGGGAGGAGCCTCCACTTTACTCTTAACATGTCGCCGACTATCGTCCATTCTGTAAACGACTCCACCTGTAATGATGGGCTCTCCGTTTCCGACTAGATGGCCGCTCGTGCAACTCGGGTGTTTCCACTTATGGAATCCGAGGAAAACATGGGCTGCGTCCTAACGTCGTTTGTTTATTACGGGGCTACATTATGAATTGTCACAAGAAAAGCCGAGGAAATTCTGGAGCGATAGTTCATTCGAAAACATCGCTCAAATTTGGGGGTTGTTGTACGTTCCAAACCAGGGATGGCCACCTGGCAAGCCGCAGTGGAGAACTGAGAAATAATTTCGACCACCCGGGGAGAACTTTTCGACGTGCAACCGAAATCTCGGTTACAGGGCGTCTTCTCCGCAGTAGGCGTCCGTCAGATTGCGGGCACCTGCGCCCAGATTTGCGCCCGCTTTGCCTCGGAGCCACCTACAGGCAGCCGAAAACACCTTTCGTGAGTTCATATGTCCGTAGGCGTGTATGCGCAGTTAGCCATCTCTTCATCGTCGCTTGCGCAAGAGCCAGACACCATGTCCGTGTAAACAAACCGGATTCTTTTAGTTATACATCGTAATTCCGTATCATATACCAGTTCACCTGGATTCAGTACCATTTCAGGATTTAAAGACATCCTAGATGTGGCTTCGTGTATTCATTCATTGGTTCGTGTTGAAGTGGGAATGACGACGGTTTGGGGGGGGGGGGGGGGGGGGGGGGGGGGGAGGAGGGGCTCCGTTATTTGATGTTACGGTCTTGGCCTTCTCCCTCCGATCGAAGCATCGCTGGGAGGGTCTACATACTTGTCCCGACTTGTGCGGGGGGGACACGAGGTAAGCAACATTGGGGTGGCGCGGTCGCTGTCCATTAGACCTTCGTAAGTTAGAGGAGGGCCGGTCAAAGGGCGACGTCTCGCAAGCTTTATGTCGCTCGACTCCGGGGCAGACGAGCGATATCGATACTTCGGGCTGTCTCTTCAATCTTTGTTCGGCGTTCGGCGCGCCTTTTCAGGCCGATTCTGCGCACTGCAGACATCGCGCAGAGATGGTGCGACCGCTTATTTATGCGCAGCGAGGTCGACGCGCGTTGCGAGCCCGCACGAGTCCCCCGAGAGGGTCGCGTGAGGCGGGGTGCCGGGGAGGCCTTGTTTTGACGGGGCAGGCCTATTAGGACGGGGAGTGGTGCGGGGCCGTTGCGGCGTCCCCAGACACCTCGGCAGTTCTCGAGGAGGCGTGAGCGGGGTAATATCGCCCCCGCCGTCTTCCCTCCCTTGTCCCGAAGCTCTATAAATCAGGGCTCCCCGCTCGCAGCACCAGCGCTTGGCCTGCCCTCCTCCTCCGGTCCACTTCTCTCCATCACTCACAACGGGCGCAGTGGGATGGCGCTCTCTCCGGGTGGAGTGGGAATCAGTCGGCTGGAAAATGGGAGCTGCTATACGTGCTGAGCCCTCCAGCCTTGTCGGCGTTCGGCCCTCGGTGTACTGACGTCGGCGCCCGCGTCGTCGGTGGTTTTCACGCTCTTTAGACCCGGTCCTGGGCTCGCGTTGAAAACGTGCTCTCGACCATTCTTAAGCGATGAGCGTGCTCGCACCATGCTGTCGCTGACTGGACGGCAGCGTAGCACGAACGGGAGCGGCGGAACGTCGGCCCACGTGACGGGCGCCCCGCTGCGGCGACACGCCGAAACATATTGCTCTTGCGAACAGAGGGGCTGCGCATAAAACAATATGTTTGCTTTCTACAGCGCTCTTGGCATCGGTGTTCGGGGAGCACATGTAGTTTTCTTTTTCAGTTCTTATACTCGGGGAGGAATATTCTCGGCATTTCCGACGTGAGGAGGAGAGCGCTCTCGCAGCTTTAATCAACGTTCAAAATGGGAGAGGACACGCGTGCCCGTACCTTTGACTGCATTGCCAAGAGAAGTTGCCCCCGAGTATAGTTCATTCCCCACCCCGTCCCGTTTCGATCGGGATGAGCATCGAACCGGCGTGCGGTCGTGTATCACTGCTGCGTGATGCGCGCATGTTAAAGACCCCAGAGTAGTGGTACTTCACTGGCTAAATCTTCCATCTACAGCTGAGAGACAAGTCGCCTTTTGAAGCAGATTAAGTTCAGTCTGTATTAACATACATTGCATTTTTTTTTTTCTTTTTTTGTCCCCGAGTATAGTTGTTTTTAGGTATCGCAGGCATGTATCACGGGCCACGTGCTTCGCTGTTCGCATTTCATTCGTACTCTACAGTGCGTGGTACTTGCCGTATTGAGTGAAAGCGCTCGTGCACCCATTGCAACCGTATGTAACGTGTGGTCTTTACAGTTATTTACCGTGTTTTGTGCATTGAGAAGTTTTCTCAGGGTGCTGAATGATGTGCACTCATTTCGTTCGAAATATTTCGCCAGCTGTCGGGCGTACATTGTTCGACAGCGTCCGCGCTATTTGGCGAGCCACTGAACTCTACCGGTCCTCTCAGCGCGAAGAAAAGCCTAAAGTCAGCTGCCTAGTGTCCCGCGAATAAACATGGGAGCGCGTGCACCACACCCGTACCTTTGCATCGGTGCTCAGAATATTTCCCCGAGTACACGCTTCTCTCCCGAGGCGAAAAAGAGGTGCTTTTATGTCGTGTCTCGAAGAAGCGGCGTTCCGCACGACGGAGGGAAGCCGTACACGATCGGTTTCTTGTCGGTCTCCTCCCTTGCACGACGCCGGAGAACGTCGGCGTGGCTGAACGCTGGCGGAGACCGCCCACGGCGCTTTTGACTGCACACGCGGGGCCCTAGCCGGAGGAGACGAGGCATTCCGGCCGCCTGAAGGCCCGACCGACTCGGCTGCAGTGTGTAGCCCTGCACGAGGAAATCTCTTACCCGTTTCTCGTCCTGCAACGACTGCAATATTGTCCAACTTGAAAGGTGAAACCTGCGGAGCTACCGTGAGGACGATCTTCTGCAATTGGGATTGCTGGCTTTTGGATTGTTCTCGATCGTTTCAATACGGGGATATCGATCCTGGAGCTTTAGTAGTAATAGTAATAATAATAATAATTACTTCTATTTTTTCCTTACCTCATCCCCTCATCCCGCCTTATCTCCGCATCTTGCTAGAATTGTAGACGACGGAACGAAGCAACTTTGGGCGGCTGAGTTTTTGACAGATTTTACAATAATGTTTAGGCAAGAAAGAAATAAGTGCCTTGTTTTTATTCACATTATAGTCGGCTGTACCATAGGGGTACAAGCTCCGCCTCCAGCGCGAGCTTGCTGGCTTTGACAACACTTCGGCGCACACGCAGCCAGAGCACGACGGAAGGCAAACGAGCCCGTGCTTGAGGCGGAGCTTCCTCTGGAGATTTTGTTACAAGATACTGTACGAAGTGTATGTCCTTGTTCTAAAAGGATACAAGAGAATTTTTTCACGGAGTCCGGAAGCGTTTACCTTCTGTTGCACGCGTGGTGTAAATATCTTTGTACGTGTGTCTGACGGAACGGACGAATGACAGCTGATGAGGCATCGATCGACCTGTGGCGAGCTGATATATGTTGAGGATCGTCTTTGAACGTCAGTTAGCGATTAGTGAACTGAGTTTCATCAGTGCGTTCTGGACATCATCTTATAAAACAGTCTGGTTGTAGGAAAAAAAAAAACCCGATATTTTAAAAGGCATTTTGAGGTTTTTTGTTACAAGGGAAACTATTGCGGACCAGGTAACGGTCCCCTGCTCTTTTTGCTTTTCGGTTACTCCAGCCGAGAGCTCTTACCAGAGCTGCAGTCGGAATAAGTCTCCGCTTGTCACTTGATGGGTGTTTTTGCAGCTGCTCTTTTGCCGCGACGTGTGCGGTATTTCAGCGTCCGTCTGATGATGGGTCGTCTTTCTCCGTATACGCAGGCGTCCCCTGGCGCCAACACACCGACTGGGCAAGGAAGGCAGCGACTGCCCTCACCTCGGACCCCCATCGCCGGCAAAGAGTGAGTGCCTCGCTCGTGCTCTCCTCGGAAACGTCGTTCGGACATCGTCGGCACCAACCGCCACAATCGTCAGGGAACTCGGGGCTCGTTTTATGCCGCTAAAGATGACATCGAGGGCTGCATACGAGTGACCCGATGGAATTAGGCTTTCGTTTGCGCGTTGGAACGTGAGCGAGAGAAGATGACTCGCGAGGACGGCAGAACACCCAGCTCTGATTGGAATGATTAGTGGGTGTGGACCTACTGTACTCGTCGAATGCGAGAGCCAAATGACAGGCACCTGCGTTTCACGCCTTAACGCGTTCGACGAGCGCAGTGGAGGCAAAGGCTGCCTTCGTCATCGCTGCACTCGTCGAACGCCTTCGAATTTGAAAGCCAAACGCCGGACGCCGCTAATCGTTCCAATCAGAGCACGACCTTCAGACGTCCCCCGCGCTCTCTCGTATCTCTCTCTCTTTCCCTTCCTCTCTCTATCTCTCTCTCTGACTCACACAAACTTTCTTGGCGCATTGCTCTGTTTTATTTTTGTCTATTTAAAGATTTAGTTTTGACTGCAGTGGCAGTGACACTTGGCACCCGTTTTTCTTTTTAGCGCACGAATGAATTTCAGGTGTCCCCTAAAGAAGACCAGCGCCGGGCACGCATTGAACACGAGAGGGATGCTCCGCTCCACTTAGTCCGACGGAACCAATCACGCACATAGAAAGCAACGCGCAGGATCACGGCGCAGTCACTGTGCGTGATAGGCGGTAAACGCGTAAAGACTATGAGCGCCATGACTTTGCACTTTTGGCCCTGCTTGATTGGTTCCGTCAGATCGGAGTAAAACAGAACATAAGAGGTGTCGGTGGCGGAACGCTGGTTTTTATAACGAGAGAGAGAGAGAGTGAGAGAAATTTAGTATTTCCATTTTCGACGCTGCATTGCCAATTCGTGCGCACGTTTGTTTTTGGCCTAGTGCCGGCAATCGCGGAGTACGACGTCCCCCAGGTCTGGGATCGGGGCCGGAAGTAAACTAAAGCGCCGGAGGAATGTTCCCTCCTCGGAGACGGCACGGAGTTGTCTCGCCGAGCGCATTGTGCCGGGAGGTTTCCGTCTCCTGATCCGAAAGGCGTTCCAACGGCAGCATCGCGCCGTCGGAAAGATGCTGGTTGTTGGGTCCCTCCGGAACGTGAGCCCCGCGTCGCCGTGTCGGTGCCGCCCCCTGGAGCACGACGGTGGAGCTATTTTGGCAGTTCCCGTACGTTGGCTGACTGGGGTCGAGTTGCTCGTGGCGCGAACGCGAGACGGGCCTCGTGGGCCGAGGAGCACGGGCTCGTTTGACCGACTTTTCGGCACACCGAGCCCCAACGGCTCCAAATACACTTTTTTTTTCTTCTTTTTTTCCTTTTTTTTTTTTTTTTGCCTTCTTGGTTGCGGAAGCGGAACTAGTCTTCAGAACCATTTGTTACGAGATGGAGTCAACTGTCGACTTAGAACGCTCTCGGGCCCTGCTCTTGATAGTTTGGGATGGTTGAAGGAAGGTGGAGGACTCCGTTGTCTCGTTTGAGAGCCGGGGTCCCGGAGGGTGCGGAAGTGGCACTTACTCGGATGCGTCCTGCCTACGTATGAGAACCCTTCGGGCTTTTATAGACGTTACGCGGGACTCGTACGTGAGAACTTCTTGGTTGGGCGCTCTTCGTTTCTCTGTCTGTTTTTGCGCTGTATGTTCCGCTGATTGCTGGGGTTCGATAAGCTTACATGGAGTATGGTGAAAAAAGCGAACCACAAAAATGAGGGGTAGGTGGTGGACAGCCGTATGTGGAAACTAATTCCGGCTTTGCTTTACCGACGTGTCGCGCCACGCAATACGTGTCGCGGCTGTTTTACGCTTAGCGAAACGGATATACGGCGGGAGTGCACCCAGCTGTGCTCTTACATTCTTCAGCTCACGGCGTCTGAATGTCGTCTACGAAGTTGACAGGCAGAATTTTGATCTTGCGAAGCAGTTTTCAACAGTGACTGTAATCCGAAATCGAGAGAAAAGAAAAGTAGGCAAAAAGGTAGTTAAAACTTAAGACTGTAATCCACGAATGTGCGAAACAGGCGCGGCGTGAGAAGCCTACGTTGGGATTCGCTCTTTCTCGTACGGTCTAATGGCTGTCGGCAACCTATTGACATCTTTATAATTTCCATGTTCTGTTCACAAATATCCGGTCCACGACATATCTCCCCTTTGGAACGACAGTTGACGCAACATATCGAAAATATATGTACGTATAAAATATATTGAAACTCACTCAGCCGCCACTAACCTCGCGACGTCCGAGAATTTACTGAGCGCTGTTCCTCCTTGCCGTCGCACTCGCGTGCGACAGCGACCAAAAACCGGTGTCATAAGACAGACTTGGTGGTTGTTTGGCCACCGTTGCGAAAAAAGGAAAACGAGAAGAGAAAACGCCAAGGGAAAGGAAATCGAGGAAGAACGTCCGGAGGTGGAGCAGACTGGCGTTGTTGGTTCGTGTGAGGCAAACAGCCGTGCGCAGGAGGTGAAAGCACCTTCGTTCAGACCAGCGAAGCAAAGCAGCGGCATCAGCAGCGGCGGCTGCTTGTCTAACCCACTGCAGACAGAGACAAAAGAAAACTGCCCGGAGTCTAAATAAAGGAGATGCAGGGCCCTCATCACGGGGTTCCCGATAGGCGCCGCTGGCTGCCCTCGGGGAAAGGGCCACGGGGGTTTATGGCCGGGCCGCGATTGATTGCCGCGTTATATCGCCGATATCGGGACGCTAAGCTTCGTCGCGTTGGCGCGCCAAGGTTTTGTCCTTTTCTTTATTATTATTTTTATATTTCTCTGTCATCCGCGTTGCGTTCTGGTGATGGCTGGCTGACTTTGATGGCGATGCGACGAGGAGGCTGAGGAGGAGGCGGCGGGGTCCCTGAGGACTAGTTTTGTTTTATTATTATTATTTCTTTTTCTTTTTTGTTTTGTTTTTTGTTTCGGTCCCTGCTTGCTTGTTTGCGACGGCCGCTCGACTTCGGAACAAGGAGATACTTTCTTTTTGTCGTTTTATTTCTCGAACGCATCGCGGTCTGGTTGCACCGAATAATGCTGCTCTTTCTGCTCTTTGAGAGTTTAACACTTTCCCTTTTATTTTTCGCGATATTTTTTTTTATGTGTTTCTATTCGGGTAATGACGCCATTTTGTCGCGAGGATCTGCACGTGCGTGATATGTCTGTTTTAAAGGGAATGAGGCTGCTTCCCCTCATTTGTGGCCTGGTTGGTACCTTTTACTTCTTCTTGGTTGTGGAGGCCCTGTTAACTGCGGTATACCTACCTACAGGGTAATTTATGCTCATCGCTCTCGCGGTCCAGTTTCTTGTTTCTTTGTTTGTGTTTGTATGCCGGAAAGAGCTAGAGAGAGAGATCGCGGTTGAAAAGCGAAATTGGAAGTCACGACTATAGAGCGTTACATGGTGTCTTGTATTGTTTTTCTAGTCGCGACGAGTCCAAGCTCATTCCAAAGGCTCCGTATAGAATACTTCCTCCATGAACATGCTGGACCGTCGTCAAGAACACGTCGAGAAATGACCGTGCTTATGGGGTTGGCATTCCTCAAATGGTAGTCTGTGGACTGACCCACTCGCGGCTATTGTTCGGCTAACTTTAATTTAGTATCGGCATTTGAGTGGTTGTGGGAAGGGGGTGGAATGGGCTCAGGTAATTTCCTTAGATTCGATACGTCGAAACTATTAAATTAACGAGGCCTCCATAAATAAAAAGAGAAAGGTTATATGGTTTATTGAACAAACTTGTGTATGCTGATAGAAGAAAATAAAAACACTTTTCTGTGGTCAGAGTCTATCGTGAGGTAATTTTGACTTGGCTGCATTTAGAGCCGTGATATAATTGTTCTACTGGCAACGGTGATAGAATCTTCACACAATTTCCAATACAATACAATTAACGTTTGTGTTAATCTGCATGATATAGTTTGCACTCGTATTAAAAAATCACGTATAATGGACAAGTTATTTTTAATGCATTTATCCGAGACGATCCGAGTGAGCGCAAGATTGAGCCTTGACTTCCGAGGTTCCAGAGTTAGCCCAGCGCCAGCCATGAAAATTTGTACGGTGACACGAACTCCTGATAGATAAAGCTGAAGTTTAGGGTTATAAGTAGGGTTCCGTGTTTTTGGTGAATACCGATAAACCCCGAAAATTGCCCTCCGATGCGGTTTTACAAAGATCAGAGAAGACCGAAGAACCTTACCATTTAGCTTCTCTTAAAATTTTAGTTTTATGTTTTGCTTACCTCGGAACACGGCCACAGTGACCTGTCGGTGAGGCCACCCAAGCCCCTTACGTCGTCTCGTTATTGGTACGGGAACGTTTTTCCACGTATTCTGGGCGCGAGCATGTTCTTGGAAGGATGGGGAATCATCTGCCCGTGTCACTGTTTCTTCGCCATAAAACCCGATAAACACCGATTTCTAGTCAGAGACCGACATTGACACCAAAAAGCACCGAATATTTTGAAGAAAAAGAAATAAAAGAAAATCATCTCTGCATGCTATAAAAAATAAGCATCTAAAACACGCAACCGTATATAGTTAGATAAGATCTTCACTAACACACGTAAGATTTTCTGATCACTAAAGAGGAAGCAAATCCTAGGTTTCTTTCTCAAGCATGGTTTGTTTACGCGCGGGCCTCACGGGCATCACAGGTTTTCCTCGTGGTGTTCCACGGTCGACAGGATTCCCACAGGCGTCATGGCGGCGTTTTCGCGGTCTCTGCGTGACACTTTACATCGCTGTACGCGGAAAGTACATGGTGGGGCGGCGGGGGAATTAGGCTTCGCTACGAGGCCGTCGTCTGTCTGGGTTATCACGCGGGAAAGTTTCGAGGAGCCGAGCTAGGTTCGCAGGCTTTGTTGGGAAAGAGACGCGCAGCGTCGTAAATCGTGAACCGTTTGAACGATGGCGCCCATTCCTTACAGAGAGAGGGAGGGCGT